TATTTTAAAATATCCAAACAATGTATTTAAAAATACATGTATTTGAAATTCATTTTTTTAATTCAATCCAAATAATGTATTTTAATTACACTCATCAAATTCAAATTCAAGTTTCCAAACACAATCTAAAGGTATTTTCAAATTATTTAAAAAATTTACGACAGGGCCCATTATTTGGAAAGATAAGCATGGGCACACAAAAGGATATCCCATACGCTCTGAATCACGACAGAATTCAAAGCTTGAAGGCTCGTCGAAAGTCCCGCGAAGGTGAAGAAGGGTTTCCTTTTTATTTCAGGTTAAACTCTCATTTTGGTCCCTTAACTATTGTATAGACTCTTGATTTGATTCCTATTGTTTACCATTTAATCTCGATTTGGCTCTCCGTTAAAAATCTGCTTACATGTCCCGTTAGTTGGCAAAAAATGATGACATGTAAAAATATTCTAACACGTAAGATTGGCAACATGACATATAAAACTTACACGTAATTTTTAATAAAAATTAAAATATCTAAGATTAATTATAAAACTAAAATTACTTTTTTACCCTCATCTTAAACCACACATCACTTTCTTTCCATTTTCTTTTCATTACCCTTTCATTTTCATCTCTAGCATTCATCTTCTTCCCCCAAATCCTTGTTCGTTGGCCTTAGGGGCTTTGGATTTGATTGATGCCTATTGGGTTTGATCAATGAACCCAGCAGGAACCTAGCGACACGATGCTTGTTGGGTTCGATCGATGAACCCAACGGCTCCTGTTGGGTTCATCGATCGAACCCAAGAGCGTCTATTTGGTTCATCGATTGAACCTAACAAGAACCCAACAACGTCGTTGGGTTCGATCGATGAACCCAACAGGCACTCTTGGGTTCATCAAACTCCTGGGTTCGATCGATGAACCCAGCAGTTGTCGCTAGGTTCATTAATCGAACCTAGGAGCGCCTGTTAGGTTCATCGATTGAACCTAGTAAGAACCCAGAAACGTCGTTGGGTTTGATCGATGAACCTAGCAGGCGCTCCTGGGTTCGATCGATGAATCCAGCAGATGCTGTTGGGTTCATGCTTGGTTCATCGATCGAACCCAACAAGCACTGTTAGGTTCGATTGAAGAACCCTTAATGGGTTTGATTGAAGAATGCTAGATTCGATTGAAGAACTGTTGTTGGGTTTGATTGAAGATACCTTGATTTTTCTGGGTTTTTTATAAGGCTGAGAGGGCATTTAATGGGGGTTTAAACTACTTGCTGGTTCCCTTTGTTATGTGAATATCATGTGAAGGAGAAGGTCGATTTTGGGTGCGAGGAAATCCAAATCTTAGAGGCAATCCAGATCTAAGTTCATTCTACACCCACATTTGTATTTAGGTTTTATTTTTCAAATCTTGATTGCTGCAATTTTGGGTATGAAAGCATTAAAATTTGAATGATAAGAATTGGAATTGAAAATCTAGGTATTTATTTTGGGTACTTATTTGATTTTGCAGAATTGGGAAGCATTAAATTTTGGAATCAAATAAATTTGGGTATTTCTTTGATTTTTTTTTACTTTAATTTAAATTTAAAATGGAAAGTGCAACCCAAATCTGGGTTCTTTCCGAACCCAGGTGTATTGGGTTCAATGGAATCCAATGTGTGCTGGGTTCAATTGAACCCAGGCATGTTGGGTTTAGAAGGTTTTAGGATTTGCAGAAGGCAAAAGGAAAGGAAGAGGAAGAAGAAAGGGAAAAAGGAAAACAAAGCAAGAAAGAAAAAAAAAAAAGAAAAAGAAAAAGAAAAAGGAATTTTTTAATTATTTTTGCCACATCATTGTTTTTGCCACATTGTAGATCCTATGTGTCAAAAAATATTTACGTGTCATGTTTCTCTCTGTTAAGTAACGAGACACGTAGGCAGAATTTTAACGGAAGACCAAGTTAGGGTTAAAATGGTAAATAATAAGGATTAAGTCAGGAATATTACCATTTTAATTGTTTTCCTGCTTGCTTTAATAGTTTTTCTTTGTTAATCCAAAAATCTTGTAGCAAAAACTAACATTTAGCTCCTTATCTTACAAAATTGGTAGGTTTTAACCCTTTACCTTATAATATAACAGTTTTAGCCATTTATGTTATAAAGTTGGTAAGTTTTAACCCCTCACCTTACAAAGTTGATAGGTTTTAACCCTTTATTTTATATTATAATATTTTTAGCCCCTCACCAATACGAATTAAAGAAAATAGCCATCACCTAACATCAGGTTATAACGTTCTGTTAGTTCTATTAGTTGACTGTTAACATCCATTAGCATTCCGTTATAAAAAATATGAAATTTAAATTCAATTTTATTTGTTAGTTCCATTAACAAAATGCTAACGGATACTAACAGTCAGTTAACAGAATTAACAGTTAACTAATAGAACTGATAGTTAGTTAACAGAACTGACAGTCAGCTAACAGAATTAATAGAACATTATAATCTGATATTAAATAAGGGCTATTTCCTTCAATTCGTACAAATAAGGGGCTAAAAGTGTCATAATATAAGGTGAAGGGCTAAAATCTACCAACTTTGTAAGGTGAGGAGTTAAAATCTACCAATTTTGTAATATAAATGGTTAAAAATATTATATTATAAAGTTAAGAGTCAAAACTTATTAATTTTGTAAAGTAAGGGGCTCAAAGTTGATTTTAGCCTCTGTTAGGTGTAGTCTTTGAAAACATTGTAGTATTCTCTGTGTAAGTTGCATTTTTAAGTCAAAAGGGCTAAACTTTTTCTTTATTAGTACAATAATTTCTTATTGGCTAGCTTTCTTTTTTGCTGTTTAAATGCAGAGTTGAAATTATATTATTATTACAATATAGAAGTCTAAATTAACTTACACTGCTATTTTTTCCTTTCCTCAAGTCAAAATATGCCTGCTACAAAGGAGGAGTGTCATTTGCCCTTTGGCATTCCACTGTCATGTCTGGTTGGTATTAGTAATTCCCCACTATTTGAGTAGCGACCCAACATTGACTTAAGGGCCAGTCATTGAGTCTCAAAAAGACGGTAAAAGCTCAAATGAGATATGAGCAGTAGGAAGCTTTTGATGTCACTGGGACCAATTACGCGATGATGCATAACATTAGTGTCATGAGCAGTAGGAAGCTAATGTCTACATTGCTATACCCTGCTGATACCATTATACTCAAGATATGCTAAACAAGAACTTTGACAAGAGGGTAGATTTGTTCCTGATAGTTGAGAATGCCATTGTTGTTAAATTAGGTACGATCAGTTTCCAGTTTGTAAATCTCAATCTTAAATCCTTCAGGCCTTCATTCACTTCTAGTTAATGTAAACTTATGCTTCCCTAGTTTTCAACATCTCATTGGCGGTCTGTTGTTGGCATTTTCCTGTGTGCTGTTTTGTTTGTTTTTGTTGGAATGCACATCTGGAGAAAGTTTGGGGGAAAGATATAATGCATGTTTGGCAGCTTAAAACTGGAGGACCGCTTGTTAGGTGATGAGAACCCCAAAGCGAATAATGAGACCCACAGCATGACAAGGAATGTACATATGGGGTCATCTTGATTCCCATCATTAGGGAATGGGTAAGTCATCTTCAGCTCCCTAAAATATCATTTGGAACTTTCAAATGCTATATTACTCTTTTTTTTTTCCCTGGCAGCAATACAAACTGTTTGCTTGGCAGTTAGGTCTTCCCTCTGGTATCACTGTTGTATGAAATGTCTGGACTGGATGAGAGACACATTCAAAACGCGTAAATAGAGAGCAACTGTCTCCTCTCCTACCTACTGTCTACTTTAGGCCCAAAGTTCTAGCAAGAACCAAAGCAATGCATGTTCTCCATATCGTAGTAGTTCTGTTGTATGTTTCAGAGCAGGCCTAGCATCCAAGCACTGACAACATCTTCCTTGAGCTTGAGGATTTCCAACATCTGAACATTGAATGACACTCATTGCTTCACAACGAGCATAAGCAACCATTTGTACACATACTTGGTACTTGTATCAGCAAATAAACTGCACAGTTGAATTTGTTCAAGAGAGCTAAAAGAATGGATAATCCTTGCCTCTCTAAGGACCTTCTTTTACCTAAATTTATGCTTACATCAGAAGAGTTTGGAAGAAAAAACTTTGCAGTTTTGACACATCCCCTGAAATGTATTAGCTCTATTTATTGTAATTTACACCTGAATAGATTTTATCTCTGTTATTTCTTAAACAGTTTATGATATTTAATAATGGAACATAAATTTCAGTTTCTTCAACTAGAATTATCTATTCTTCCTCAATGGAAAATTTTTTTACAAAATAAATTCATAAAACTTCTCTAATGTAACACCCTTAGGAAATAGAGCAGACAATATAAATGTGAAAAACCAACGTTTATTGGCTACCAAATTGTACATCGACTATGATCTCTTTAATTTTATCAGCAAAGAGAGTTGCAATACAGTAAGTCTGAGGCAGTTGATACAATACAGAAGAAAAAGCCTATTTTGCAATGTTCTTCCAGCATCTTTTGCATGGAATAACTATATATCGATCCATCACCTTAAAACTTCACCCAAAAAGTAACATCTACACCTGCTTTTTGATAACTCTTCTGTTTTTGGATAACACCATGATGCAAAGGATCACATCAAAAATTGTTAAATGGGTCTCTGAGTCACTGGAATTCGTTTCTTACTCGGATTCTTTTCTCTTGTGATAATGATCAGGAAACTTTTGACTTTTTTTGGTGGAAAAAACTGGAGTAAAGGTGCAAATAAGGATTCCAACTTTGCACTTTTTTCTATTTAAGGATGTTAACTTTGACAGTTTCTAAATAAGGATGTTAACTTTCAATTTTTTTCTAAATAAGGATGTTAACTTTGTTAGTTTCTAAATAAGGATGTTAACTTTCAACTTTTTTCTATTTAAGGATGTCAACTTTCAACTTTTTCTATTTAAGGATGTCAACTTTTAACTTTTTCTATTTAAGGATTAATTGAATAGTGATGCTGACGTGGCTAACATATTTTTTTAGGTTAAATATTTGAATTGGTCCCTCAACTTTTATTTTTAAACCAATTCATCCTTGAACTTCAAAAAGTACCAAAAATGTCATTCAACTTCAATTTTCAATTTCGTCTTTCCGTCAATTAAATGTTGATGTAACTAATTTTTTTGCTAAGTGATTGACTATTTTACATTTTCAATATTAGGTGAAAAATCCATCATGTAAAAGATGATTATGTGGATTTTTTTTAATTTTAAATAATTTACAAACTACTTTAATTCTTAATTTTACTTTATTTATATTTAAAAATT